CTTCACATGCGCCACTTGCAATGCTGCGCAGTGATGATCTGCCGTCCAGATACCGTATGCCGTGCGTCCGGGTCCCACTAAATACGCGCGGACCTTTTCCGCTTGCAAGGATTCCTTCTCAGCCGTCACTGGCATTTCGGCGTCAGAAGGACAGCACATCGGCGGCTTATTTTCCACGCTGGCGAGGAAAATGATGCTGGAGGAATGTCAGGGCTCAGCGCGCGCCGTCCGAACGTCTGTCAACTTGTCAGTTAGCGAGCCAGCTATTGCCGCGTGCCCTGCGCCGCCACTATTCGGCTGCCATTTAATGAATCCTTTTAATTTGTCTGAAAACCTATTTTTGACAGTATCCAGATCTTCCCCATTCAACATTTATTGGATAATGGCGACTTGACAGGGAGAGCCGCCGCCCCTCCTGGAAAATATCAGCAGAAATAAGCCTCTGCAATTATTAGCGAGTGGTGAAACAACACGGCGCAGGGCGCCCAGGCAGAGAAGGGAGGGGCGGCGAGAGCGCGGGAGATGGACGACGGGGAAGATGAAGCGGTCGGAGACGCCGTGCCCGGGCATCGCCTATCTGGGATCCGATGCACTGCCGACCGTACCCGCCCTGAAATATTGCCGCCTCAAATATGAATGCAAATCAGAACGGATGATAAAAAAGATTGAATATTTGGGCTGACGAATGGGTCGCTGGCCGGTCGAGCGCTCGGCTGCAGCGTCGTCCGGACAGTGACGGAGTGGGGGGATCGGGCCCGGCGCGCCACCCGGTCGGCCGACTGCCGTGGGGTCACCAGACGGAGGGGCTGGGGTCAGAAGACGGAGGGACTGGGTTCAGCAGACGTAGGGCCGGGGTCAACAGACGAAGGACTGGGGTCACCAGACGGAGTGGCTGGCATCAGCAGACGGAGCGGCTGGGGTCGCCAGATGGAGGGGCTGGGGTCAGGAGACGGAGGGACTGGCGTCACCAGACGTAGAGGCTGGCGTCAGCAGACGGAGCGGCTGGCGTCAGCAGACGGGGGGGGGGGGGGGGGGGGACTACTGTCAGCAGACGGAGCGGCTGGGGTCGCCAGATGGAGGGGCTGGCGTCACCAGACGGAGGGACTGGCGTCACCAGACGGAGGGGCTGGCGTCAGCAGACGGAGCGGCTGGGGTCGCCAGATGGAAGGGCTGGGGTCAGAAGACGGAGGGACTGGGTTCAGCAGACGGAGGGCCGGGGTCGACAGACGAAAGACTGAGGTCACCAGACGGAGTGGCTGGTGTCACCAGACGGAGGGGCTGGCGTCACCAGACGGAGGAGCTGGGGTGACCAGACGGTGACTAAGGGAGGAGGAAGAGGGGGAGGAGTAGTTGAATAACACAGCTCGTTTCTTTTCACGCAATGCCCGTTGGCTCCATATCAGAGTTCAGAAGCAGGGTGGAGCTAAAACCCCTCCAAATGAATGGGAACTTCACCAATATTTTGACGTGCAGCGATCGGGTCTTGTGGTGGTGGGGACTTGGCTATTTGTTAACGGCACGTGTGCACTTCGCTGTTAGCCTGTTCTGCTGCCGCCAATCTGGCACGCTGCAGCGAGCGTCCTGCGGCTGGAGCTGTCAAACTGAGTCGACTGAGGCGTCACTCGTGTGTACGAGCTGGGTATGACAAAGCAGAAAGTCATGCAACTGGCGTTTGCAATGCTAGAAAGACGCATGCGGCCTACGTTTCTCCGGGGACGTGCAAAAAAATGGAGGGAAGAGGAATGTGTGGGTCGGTGATCAGACATGATCTATTGTGTTCGTAAGATAGTTACGCTGTGTATTTTTCGACGTCTGTGTCCTGCTTGCGCGCCTTTTGAAAACTGCGCAGTCGGTTGGAAAGAGGCTTGACGTTACAGCAAGGTCTTAACCTCAACACATTATTGTCATCGCGTAACCAAGCAGGTATTTTGTGCTTGGATTTTTGTCCCACCTTGTTTAACCTCACCAACTCTCGTTGAATCACGCTCGTTTTCTGAGTCCCGCTCAACGACCGCAATCACCGTAAACAAACCACTTTGTCAGCTTTCTCTGCCGAAAGTCGAGCTGCTGATAAGGCGAACCGGAGCCGGCCGGGGCATCCTCGCACGCTCGTGCACGCGCCGGCACCCACACTTTCACAGACCCACCCCCCCCCCCCCCCTCCCTGCCGCCAGGGGAGAACAATGCCCCGAATCGTCTCCTGGATCGCGCGGCGCCCGCTCGCCCCCGACATTGCTCAATGCGGTAATAGCCGGGCGGTTGGGGTCGGTCAGTGCGGCGCAGCCGCGGGCGTGCCGGCGGCGCTTCATCTATCTGGCGCTAATGACGGAGCCCGCGTCGGCGGCGGCGCCGCGTGCTCGCGCCCGACTGTCGACGATCGATCTCCGCCAGATTCGGACCGATTAGAGCGCGCCGGTCCGCCGCGTAATGTCTGATTTATCTGGCCCGTGCGCGCCGCGCTGCGGGCGCAATTGTTTGATGCTACCGAGCGGGCAGCGGGCGAGATGGTGCGGAGGCGCGGGGGGGGGGGGGGGGCGCGAGTGGCCGCGCGCCGACGAGCCCTGCCGATACCCCCTCAGTGCCGATTGGAGAGCAGCCGTCCGGGATGAGCGATGGTTCAGTTCTGATTGGTCCCCGGTGATTCGCGGAGTTCGCTTTCTGTCGCAACTCGTAACCCTGCAGGCAGTATCTTTATCGCCACATTTAGTTCATAGCCGGGGGCGGAGAATGTGGTGCGATGACTGAAATAGCGGTTACTAGTCTCATTGGAATTAGCATAACTGCATTTTCCATAGAAAAGTATTGCTCCGGCATCTCCATCTCACCAGCTTTTACCGTTCTCCACGCTTGGTAATAAATGTCGCAAAGTAAGCACCCGTCAAGATGTACTGCGCATCTTTGCAAAATACCATCTCTTCCTAAGGGAACGCGGCGCACGTCGTCGCGCACCCTTTGTGGAGCGCAAGCGACTGCATCGGTGATATCAGCGCTCAGTGGCTGCGGCGCAACCGAAATTCCAAACCGGACGAGGGAGGCAACCTCGCGTGTAATCCGAAGGTGTCAGCCATTTGGTTTTTACGCCCCCTAAAATAACTGTCCCATTTTTAACACCAGACTCGTCGGAACATCGCAGAGTTCGACGACGCTGTCTGTGTTACGGTCGCGGCCTGCCTGGACGCGACCAGCGGATTGTGGTCCGTTGCGCCTGTATACGGATCAGAAACGGCTGGCGCGCAATCGGAAGACGTCTTGCGTCTTCCAAATTGCTGTTCGGAAAGAAGACATCTTGCGTCTTCTTTCCGAACTGCACGCCCTTTTCTCGCCTGACCAACATTATCAAATCGCATCTCATCGATTCCTTCGCCCAAGTGCGACTAACCCTGTCCTGGAGCTTGTCCTCAGTGACAGGCGCCGCTGCCGCCCGCCGCAAGAACACCCGTCTCCCCCTGACCTAACGTCGTCACAACACGTCCCACCGGCCCCGAGAAGCTCGCCTAGAGCGACCCTGCCGCCATCAGAATGCGCGCTGCCACCGTCGCCGTCTTGGAGGGACCGGCCGTCCGCCTGGGAGCGTCGTGGCTCGCCGCCGCGGTCTTAATTGTTGCGCTGACTTTGGCGCGGCTCAATTAGAGGCCTTTCATCAGCGTGCCAGCGCCAGAACCCGAAATCCATGCATATTAAATAGGCCGCCTTCTGCCGGGCGGCCTGAAAGAACGGCGCACTCGTTAATAGGCGAAAATTAATGGAAATTGAAAAGCATCCGCGGGCTGAGAAAGTTGCTACGATAAAGTCGGAACATGTATTTCGAGTTTCGTTTCCGCTGTTTTCGGGCGCTTCGGATGCATAGCTCCTCTTGTTATCCATCTGAGAAAGCAAAGGCATGCGGCTGCTGAATACTGCGTCCTCGGAATTTCCTCGTGTCGACTACCAGCAAAAGCATTGCTGTCAAAGACAGTGCAAGATGACAGCGCTGCCGAACTGATCAAGATGCCGTCCGATAGGGCTGTGGTATCTGCACAACTTTGTATTTATACCAATATACCGATCTCCTTTGAAGCCAGCGCTCAAAATGCAGGCGCGGTGCTCAGTGCCGGCGCAGTGTCGGGGCTGCATGCTCGGGCGAAGCTCTGTCCCTGTCGGGCCTTGTTTTCTAATCCGCTGCAGTTAACAACGAGATTGGATTCTTTGATTCTAATAAACCAAGCGGAGCGTGAAATAGGTTCCCGCGGGCCTGCCGTCTTGATAATGATTTCGCAATGTTCCGTCTGCTTAAGACGATAACATGTCGGGCACGGTGGTAGCCGTCATAATGTAGATGTCATTTGGCACGGGCAATATTCGGGCAGAATTAAGATGGCGCGATACCGAAGCACGGCGACTCGCAGCGGAAGGCGGCCGTCGTTCTGAGTTACGACGAGGTTGGCTGCCACTGCTGCTGTGTGCAAGTGCAATACATGCGGTTTTACTGCCGGTCTGTAACCTTTTCATGCGCAAAGCATCGATTTTGCTGTCCTATCAGAGCTAGAGATCAAACTTTGTGGTGGTCATTTGCTACCTTTTGCAAAGGTGGCCCAGTAGCCCCCTGTGCACCCGTGGGTTTGATGCGTCAGTGCCACCCAGGCCTGGGTTTAGCATGGCCTGCTCATCACGATTTTTATGATGGGAGTGACGTCATTGTTTCATCACTCGAAAGGTGTTTCTGAGTGCGGGCAAATGCGCGTGTGCCGTCCCAATACTCTGTCACTGCACGTTACGGCACATAGTGGACCGCGGTAGCATTGCGAGGGGACCTCTGAGAACAGGTTGGCTGGGAGGGAGGAGGATGGTTATCGCTCATTATTGTAATTCTGGTAATCATGCAGACGCGCATACCTTGTATCATTCCACGTATCACCGTATGTCCACGTCGATTGTTTTCTACAATTGGTGAGCAACTGCTTCCCCCTTCCCCAGTCTCTCTTCACGCGCGCCCTGACCGTTGTTCGTCGCCTCTGCCGCAGACATCACCCCGGCGCTCGAGTTCAGCCTGAGCGCGCAGCAGAAGCTGGCCAAGCTGGCCGAGCTGCAGCTGGAAAACAGCCAGCTGCGCGACACGCTCAGCAGCTACACGGCTGAACTGAAGGACGTCCGCAGTCAAGGTGGGCGCCGCGGCTCCCTCGCGCCAAGCGGAGGGATGTGGCTGCACGCGGGGGGTCTCCGGCAGAAGAGAGAATGCGGTTCGCGTGTGCCTATCACTGCATGCTGATCGTGATGTGGGGACGTGGTACCTGGGTCTCATTATTAGAGGCATGCGGGATATGTTGGAGATATACGCCGTATATTCTCAGCGACACGATATGTGATCCGTGCTCCCCGTGCATGACCTCAGCAGCTATTGCAGATATAGTTTGCATTATGCCAGCAGGTTGCAGACATGTAGATATTTAGCTGCAGCAGGAGCAGCTCGTCGATCAGCTTATGCGATGAGCCGTTTGGCTGGGGTTACAGTGCTCCGATAGGTGGCAAACACTGGGGGGCTGTAATCCAGGTCAGAGACGTCTCTGAGAGTCGCACACAGAACGTTCTGTGACACGCTGCAATTTCCGCCATCTGTAACGGACAACTTCCTGGAAGCCAGGTGCATAATGACTCCGTTCTTCTGGATCCCACCTCCTTGACGCCATCGCCAATTTCCGCCCTGTCCGAATGTTCACAGTAAATCCTCGGTCAATCTGGAATGTACTGAAAACCAGTACTTAGCCTTTTCAATTTCCTTCAGCTTGCGACAAGTGCAGGGTGTGGGAAGTCATCACAGCGCTCGTTGTTGGCATCCATGATCTGTAGCAAATGCAAACCAACCGACATGAGGTTGAACAGTGACGGAACCATGCTGTGTAATCACCCTAGCGGCAACGCCTGTAGCTGCAGGACCGCTAGATCCCAAGCACCCTTTTATGTGTCATACTTTGATTACCTTCATGAATCAAGCCCGGATTGCCGATTCATCCAAACAGGAAACGTTGCGTGCAAACATAGCAAGCATCTTGATGTACTCACGCCGCAGAATTGTGCATTCAAATTGCACAAAAAACAAGCTATGACGTACCGGTATAGCAGTCGTCAAAACAGACCGCGCCCTTATTGTGCATGTTCTTTGTCTGGACCCGTATGGGAAGTGCAACACATCAATAAAATATATCACCCCAGCATCAAACCTTGTGGCTGGCGAAGGTATGCCGTGATTGGACAAAGCGCCGACGCGCGCCACCGACAAGGTGTCTTCCTATCATGCAAGGATGTAATTGGCATCATATATTTTGCTCTTGCGGAAACATCTCGGATGCTGGAGCAAAAGTATGCCCTTCAATGGGTCTTGATATCCTCGGCGTACGTATGTGACAACAGCTGTAGTGACCTGCTCAGGGGCATGCTTAGCTGTAGTGACCTGCTCGGCGGCGCGCTTAGCTGTAGTGACCTGCTCAGCGGCATGCTTTGCTATAATGACCCGCTTGGCGGCATGCTTAGGTGTAGTGACCTGCTCAGCGAATTCTTAGCTGCAGTGACCTGCTCAGCGGCATGCTTAGCTGTAGTGACCTGCTCAGCGACGTGCTTAGATGAAGTGACCTGCTCAGCGGCATGCTTAGCTGTAGTGACCTGCTCAGCGGCATGCTTAGCTGTAGTGACCTGCTTAGCAGCATGCTTAGCGACCGTGTTAAAATGAACCATGTTAGAGTGAACAGTGTTTATTTAATATACCCTGCATTGCCATACTAGACTTGTGTATGCATCGGATGCTTGCCGCCCATGCCCTGAATCTGAGACACTGATAGCGCCATCCCGCATTTATGGGAGCATTTGTGCACGCACCAGTTTCCACAGATGTTCGAAGAGGTGTACTGAGGACCAGTACGACGCTTTTCCTGGAGGCTCAACATGATCCTGCGCTGAGCTCCCGACATTACACTGAAATAGCTGGATTTAAAAGGCATTACCTCTTACTTTGAGACGTTCGTATGCCCATGATGACTATACTCATCTGGCCTTAGAACACTGAACATCTCACGTCTATGCTTCCTGCCAGCAGTCGCAGCCGCCCCTGCATCCTCACGGGCGTGCACTTCCCGTCACCCGTCTCAAACCGCCCATCAAAGCCGTGCGTGGGCAAATTCCAGCGCATGTACACGATCGCGGCGCGCGCGCGGTGGTCGTGGCGCGGCGGGCGGCGATCGCCGAGGTGGGCGCCATTAATCAGGCTAATTAATACGGCGGGGGCATTAGCGCCCATCGGCGAGTAAATCACGGGTGGGATAAACAAATACGGTGCGGCGGTGGCCACAAAAACCGGCCGACTATCGGGCGCGCCTGACCGCTGAGTGATGCGGTATTCACGGCTCTGGACGGGCCGGCGCTAGCGTGGGGCCGCGCCCCGGCTGGCGCCCCGTCTCCTGAGACGGCGCTGGTGCTGGCGGGGCACGGGGCGGCTGCTGTCGGTAGTGGCGGGTGGGGCTGCGGGATGGCGGCAGCGTGTGTCGGGCGTGGATCGGCATGTGCTTGGTACAGCACCACTAATTGTTTGGGTGTAGGACTGTGCGTAGGGGGTATGTCGTGTTACTCGCGGTCCAGTGTAGGGAGGTGGGACTGTGTGTGGTTGTGATGGATGGGACCGTCGCCACTTGCGGTCCGATCCTGGTCTAGAACTGTGCGTATGTGGTGAGCGAGGCCGTAACCACCTACGGCCAGCTTTGGTGTAAGATTATAGGTTTGCGGTAAGCGGGGCCACTTGCGGTCCAGTTTTGGTGATGGGCTGTGCGTGGGTGGTAAGCGGGGCCACTTGCGGTCCGGTTTTGGTGTTATGATAGCTGGAGTGGTGGCCATTTGCGGTCCGGTTTTAGTGTAGACCGTGCGTGTGTGGTGGTGAGGTAGTAACGGCCCGTTGCCACCAACCGTCCAGTTCTGGCCTAGGTCTGTGCGTGTGTGGCGAGTGAGGCCGCGTCACTCGCGGTCCAGTTTTGCTGCGTGCCAGCACCGGTTACCTCAATTCATCCATGTTATGTGAGAATTGCGCCCTTTTATTGCAAATTTGAACTCCATCAAACGAAGGCTATTCTGCACAGCGACGCCGTTTTCGGCCCGGAACAGCAATCACCATCAAAACGAGCCGGCGATAGTAAGCCGCGAGTAAATCACGCCGCCATCAGTGGCCAGATTGTCTCGGGTTATTGGTTTTCCCCGGCGGGCTTCGGTCTGTGCGTGACGCTGATGAGCGGGGCTGGCCGGCGCTGCAGGAAGCGGTCTTCCGCCGCCGCCGCCCTCAAGTGCTGGACGTGTGTGAACCCTTGACATTAGGGCGCCCGGTCCGATCCAGCGACAGTCGGTTTCGCCCGGTGGCAGTCCGGAGGTAATGCGACGTCAGTTGCGCCCGGTGATATACGACGGCCGGGGGGCGCGCGGAAACGAGCTGCCGCCCGCTTCGAGTTTCACCGGCGGATCGTGTGGACGCGTCCGCTCCTCCCGTGATTATTTGCCGTTATTAGCCGCAAAAGGCGCGCACCGCGACGACGCACCGATGACTATTGCATTTCCGGGCAGTGAATCGGCGCAATTTACGATGTCACGCTCGGCGATGGCCAGAAAAATGCTGGTTTTCGCGGTCGACAGATTCAATCTGGTTAATGACACGCGTGGCGACGGTCGCCGGCCGCGCCGGGCGATCGGCGAGGCCGACACCGGCCGGCATCCGACGAGCCGCCGCCGCGCCGCGCCGCGACCGCGGCGGACGCGGGTACGCTGGCCGGCACCCGACGAGCCGCCGCCGCGCCGCGCCGCGCCGCGGCGGGCGCGCACCCACTCGCGCGCCGCACTCGGCCGGCCACTAATGCTGCCCTGTAAAGCCCAATCCGATATGATTGTCACACGCGCCCGGCGAAATGATTGCGCGCGGCACGGCGCCGGCGCCGGCGGCGCGGAACGCACGGAACGGGTGTGTGCCGCCACGTCTTGCGGAACTGAACGGCCGCTGCAGCCCGCTCCCTGCGTGTGCATTCGGGGGGGGGGGGGGGGGGGGTCATGGATCGGTGCAGTGCCCTGCCGTTGCTGTGTAATTTTGGTTTGGAGAGTTTTGTTTATGATGTTTCGTTAGCGGCTGCGCCTCGTTGGTTTCTTTGTGGGATGCAACGCATTCCTGTGTACTTCGCGACTAAATCTTTCCCTGGTCTGCGCGACGTCTCGAGCAGCATTGATTACTTCCATCTGTAGTGAGTTGTATGAGGCAAAACTGCAACTTTCTGCGATTATTTGGGTCACACTTTGCGGGCCACTGAGTTGGCAGCAGACCAGAACCTCTACCATGTTTATGCTTTGGTTATTGATGAAAACAAGGGACCTGTAAAACCGGGCAATCGCTAGCCTTTAAGTATTTCTTTCCAGTTATGCTGGTCTTGAAATCCACACCACCCGAATGAAAGAATACGTAGGTGGCAGTTTTGCAATGTGAAACTGGCACGTTGCATAGCGTCCATGAACTCAGCGCCCCCCCCCCCCCTCGTGAGCTCCCTGGCGATCGCTCGTTACCACCCCGCCCAGCCGGGGCACGTCGAAGGACTTCGATACTGGCTGCGCACCTATCGATATCGCTCGCGGCCCGTTCCGATCGGAGACTGCGGCGGCGCGCCGGCGCACAGGCGGCTAACACCGGCGGCGGCGCCGGCGCCCGCCGCGCCGGCGACAGGGAGCGATGGCAGTCGAGCCGGCCCTGTAATCTGGGCGCGCTTCGTGTGGGCCGCGCCGCGGCGTGACAGAGTCAATTAACCGGCGTAATATTCTGGCGATTTTTGTGGTTTGATGTTCCCACAATTGTAGGCGAATCGCCGCTGGTTAGTCACCACTTGCCGGTTTTTCTCCCGGTGGCGCCACGCACGAGGGCAAACAAAGCGTCAGCGTGGCGAGTCCTGGCTGGCGCGATCGACCGTCGCCCGGCCGTGGAGACGTCGACGGCGTCTTTGTCGGCGTTGACGGATCCGCGTACTCGGCTGACGCGGTAACTAGCTGCGCAGGTACCGGCGGGTGGGACAGCCTGTTGTCGGGCGGCGCTGGCCTGCGTTCGGGCTGGGCGGCTCTGTACATGCGGTCGGTGGGATCGGTAGGGTCGGTAGAGTCGATC